TATCGGCTTTCAAATATAAAGAATTATCGGTATTGGCCAAAATTTTAATATCGGTGCATCTTTTTATTGAATAGAGATTTCATAATTTCTTAGGTTTCTTTCTGTATTGTGTATTGTTTATTCTTACTAGTTGTGTATTCTTTTTTATTTATTATCTTTGCATTTTATTGTTTTTTATGCCTCTCTTAAATGGACAAAATCAGACTTTCACCAAATGACAGTGAAGATCGTGATTAATAGTTTTGCTTCAGTGGGTCAGCTGGACAAAAACTAACTCAAGCTGATTCTGATTAGTGATGATGCTGAGTCATAACATCATATCAACTGCGCTGGACATTGACCTTTGAACCCACGCGTCTGAATCTGGACATTACTCAACTCTCCTTGGCGAGTGCGGTGACCTTTCCTCCACATGACATCACGCGTCACATGACCTCTGACGGTCTCCCAGGCAACCATTCACATGAGGAATGTACTAGGCCTATTACAGGAGCGAACGGTCAAACTGTTTACTTCATGTCAGACACATGGGTCCATATCAGTGAAAAACACACAAACATATGTATAAAAAGCTACAAATGTGTAATTAAAAAACAAACACACTTTTTGTTCCAGTGTTTCCAAAAACATGAAGTTTGTTTAGTTCTGGTTAGTTAAGTTTGTTCTCAATCCCTTTTTACACACAGTCACATCCACATATTGATCAATAATCATAAATACACTCTTTACATACACTTTTGAAGTCACCATGAATTTCTAGTTTTTAATGGAATATTGCAGTGTTTATTGTCGTTTTAACTTCATGTTCCCTATTTTGAAGAAAAGACCAGTGCAACTTCCCTTTCATGATGAGTTTAAATACAATTATATCACAGACATCTGATCATTTCCATTAAGCAATGAGGACTTGGTTCCATTGTCTTTCAAGCTTCCCTGCCAACACAAACAAACCAACAGTAGAGAACTGAGATATTAATGACAAGTGCAGTAATTCAAGTTTTTTTTAAAGCATTGTGTTAAAAATATAACTGATTGTACACAGAATATATACTTCGGACATTGATTTCATATGAATTTCATTCCTTGCCGTGCATTTCTGATGTTATCCGTGTTTTTTAAATGTCCTAATTCATATTTTGACAATTGTGGCTGTTTCTCATCTCTTAAAGAAGTGTCTGTGAATGTGTTTGCTGATGAAACAGAAGTCGATCTTCCTCTTTCTGAGTCCGTGGTTGAAGGCAACGGCTCGTGATGATCACATCGCAGCTCATGTGAAGTCTTTAACTGAAGACACTCCTCAGTCGTTATAGTTAAACACACACACATGCATACACACAGTTATATAACTCCGTCACACACAGCTGTTGCGCAATTAAACGCCCTTAATATTTGCAGCTTTCTAGATCAGCTTAAAGGCACAACGTTCTCATACGATAAGAGGGAACTGGATAATGTTCTGATCCAGTCTGACCTCTGACCTGTAATGCTCCTGATCATAATCACACACTGTTGTTCGTCGGCCAGAACTGAGACTGAGTCTGGTTTCCTCCATTCTGTCCCTGATTTAGTTCTGGTTCCTCTGTCGCCTTTGGCTTGCTTAGTTGGGGACATTTCATTTAATATTCAACAATATTATTGATATTATTGATCTTCAAAAAGTTAGGAGCACCCACCAAATGTGACGTTTATCTCTGCCAGTCGAGCATCCTGGCGCTTAAAAACCTTATTAATCGAACCTGAGGAACCTGACTTGTTTGCCACACACTTCTCCCTGCATGTTTTGTGCTTGGCTCCAAGCTCTCGCGCTTCACATGTATTGATTCCGTTGCGAACGCTGTTACACCTGTGAACCATCAGAAAACGGAGCCAATCGAAATCTTTTAGCGACTCTCTCCAAAAGCGGTACGATTTCTTTTCAGCTGGTGTATCCACATCACCCACATCACCAACTCCAGGATTATTTGTGCCTTTAGGTGACAGCTTACAGAAGAAATCTGTCAGCGTTCGTTTCATCTTCTTCATCCCCGTCACCGGTGACGCCGGCGCGCAGTGAAAGCGAGTGGGAGTGATTGACTGCTAATATTAACCAATCTAAAATCTGCTTTAAAGTTGAGAACGTAAGGATGAAGTTTGATTGGTTATGTAACGTTGGATAGAATGATGGTCCGGCCGCCGCGGATCAGCACACATAAGGCACACTGTGCAGTAATTTGTGAACGTTTTGTAGAGAAATGAAGACCGGTCGCACCACAACCATTATTTGCACACGCACAAATGCACCCAAATATATTTTTAGGTCGCACAGATTAAATTTCAGGAGCATATGTGTCTAAAATGGTCGCAATTTCGAGCCTTGATCTCCGGCATTGACACCATTATAGAACTTGAGCTGCACGATGACATCATGGTTTTCTCCAGAGCGGCTGTATATATAAATGAACTAAATAACTTTTTTACAACAGAAATGAAGCATAACTGAACTTACTTAAGCTGGACTGTGACGCTATTCTCTTCTGGAAACAAACTTTGTTGTATTATTGTCCTGTTATCTCTGTAAAGCTGCTCTGAAACACTCTGTAATGTAAATAAATAACAATTTCTGCTTTTGTGTCTCACAGTCATCCATGGGAAACCGTGACCAACGCCGCCATGCAGAAGTACCCGAACCCCATGAACCCCAGCGTGTTCGGCGTGGACGTGTTGGACCGTAACGTGGACCAGCAGGGACGCCTGCACAGCAAACGCCTCCTCAGCACCGAGTGGGGTCTGCCGTCCATCGTCAGATCGGTACACACTTCCTGTTTCCTCCTATGCTGACTCTCAATACGCCTACTTATACTACGCCCTAAAAGTACTCTTTTTAAAGAAAAAGTAGATGCTTATGAGTGTGTATCAGAAGAGTAGACCAGCTTTGGGACATACTATCACGTCTTTAACGGTTGCTCTCTGTCACAGTAAACTGACCTGTCAATCATCCTATCACAGTAAACTGACCTGTCAATCATCTTGTCAAAGATAAAATCTAGGGATGCACCGATCCACATTTTTTCACTTCCGATCCCGATACCTGAATTTAGATATCGGCCGATACCGATTCTATTCCGATACCAGAGCTGTGTTTGCTTTAATATTATTATTATCATTATTGTTGATTTTATATGATGCTGAAATAAACTCCTCTCAACAGGCAAGTATGATATGTACGTATCTATGCGTGTATGTCCTAAAAGGCAACTTTAGGTAAGTATAAGGTCAGAAAAACAGGAAATCCTGTTAACAGGAAAAATCCCATTCTGAAAGCAAATATGCAACTGCAAGGGTTTCAAATTTATTGTCATGTCAATATTTATTACATTCCCAAAATGTCAAATACTTGAGTCTTGAAATATAAGAAAAGTGTAAACATCTTACACACACACTATCAATAAAACAGTTTGCATCAACAGCAAAAAAAAACAAGTACACTGGCTCTTTTAGCATCAACAAATCAAGGTTTTAAAATGTAAAATATTAGAAATATAAGAAAAGTGCAATAGTCCAACATTTTATATGCAATATGCAAGCGTGATTGACATAACGTGAGGTCGTATTTATTTTTTAACGTGCGAAAATTTCAGACGTGAATTTCGGACTCCGTGTGCAAGGGCCTTAACACACACACACACACACACACACACACACACACACACACACACTCTCTATCAATAAAACGGCTCCCGTTGTCTTTCTGACCACTGGCTAAAAAATCCTCGTGCTCTTTAACGTGGTGCTTTTTTAAATGTTTGATTGCGTTCGTTGTGTTGACCGACGCGAGGGAGCTTCCACCTCTCTGAATTACAGCTTTGCAAACATTGCATTTTGCTGTCTTGCTCCGCGGTGTTTCCAGAGTGAAGTATTTCCACACAGCGGACATAATGCTGCTCAATGCTTTCCTGCTAGCTGGCTGCAAACTGTGGAATGGATTTTCTGAGCGGAGGCGTGTCTCATGACTCTGTGTCTATTTGAGCCGCGCCTCCGTTCAGGAAATCCATTCCACAGTTTGCAGCCAGCTAGCAGACTAGCCGGCGGGAATCAATTTTGGAGTCATTTCAGCAGACAACGTTAAAGCGCAGACATGGCTCATGGATATCGGATATCTCCGCAGGTTGGATCGGGAAAATCCGATGCGTGAATTTACGCTGGTATCGGTCCCGATACCGATACTGGATCGGATCGGCCCCATCCCTAATAAAATCCTCCATTTTATTTCCTACTGTATCGGAGAGAAATGCAGAATCACGTTGATCTGCAGTCGCGGGTCTTTCGTGACGAGACTCTGCTCATATTAATACATAATGATGCATTTAAAACTTAATGGCCAAACGGATCCTTATAAAAGTCCACATTGTTATTGCAGATTAAATATAACACGGATGACATTACATAAATATTTTTATATCAGTTTAAACTGAGTCACTCAAATCTTTATCTAAACCTCTCGCTGTCGGTCGCGCATATCCGCCATGTTTTGTAGTTTTTACTCGCGTTTGTAGTTCCTCCTCAAGCGCAGTGGGTTGTGGGTAATATTAGCTGTTATAGTGAGGATGGATCCACACCGGGAATAGTAGATCATCCGGGACTTCTGGCACACTCTCCTCAACACTTGTTCTAATCTCAGTGTGGACATTGAGACGCAGGGCTAGCCTGATCGGGTGTTGAAGCTAGCAGCTGATGTTAATCTTGAAACAGGAACTCAGTCGCTCTCTTCGTTCTCGTCACGTTTGTGGAAACCGTCAAGCCGAGGTGAAATCCTGCTTTGGTATCCCAGCTCAGCTCTGTTCATGTTTGGCCTGAGCGTGAGGAGGATTCCCGAGCCCTAGACGACCCGGCTGAAGGGTTATATCGGTCTGGCTAGTCCTCGGCACATGTCGTCCCGGTGTCGTGTTTCTGAATGATCTGTTCTGTTCTGCGGTGACGTCTGACCGAGCGATTCCTGACCTCGACCTTTACATTCACTCTGCTCAAGGACCAACACAACTTCCCCTTTGATTCCTACACCTCTTGTTTGTTATTAGACACATTACTGATCTTTAAAGATTTCGAAATAAGTCTCTTCTGCTCACCAAGGCTGTTTATTTGATCAAAAATACAGTAAAAATAGTGAAATATTATTATAATGTAAATCCGCTGTTTTCTATGTGAATATACAGTAAAGTGTAATTTATTCCTGTGATCAAAGCTGAATTTTCAGCATCATTACTCCAGTCTTCAGTGTCACATGATCCTTCAGAAATCACTCTAATATGAGGATCTGATGCTCAAGAAACATTTATGATTATTATCAGTGTTGGAAACAGTTTCATGTTTTTGTGGAAACTGATGCATTACTCGTCAAAGGTTTGGGGTAAGTCAAAATAAAAGCAGAGAGAGAGAGAGAAAAAAAGCAAATTACTATTTATATTCATCAAGACCGCATTAAATTGATCTAAAAGTGACAGTAAAGACATTTATAATGTTACAAGAGATTATATTTAAAATAAACGCTGTTCTTTTGAACTCCTGAAAAATACAATGTGTTTAGAAATCTGAAGCAGCACAACTGTTCTCAACACTGATAATAGTCATGAATGTTTTTTGAGCATCAGATCCTCATATTAGAGTGATTTCTGAAGGATGGATCAGCTGTTTTACATGGGAATAATATTTCACTGTTTTTACTGTATTTTTTGATAAACGTAGCCTTGGTGAGCAGAAGAGACTCTTTCAGAAAATATAAGAAAACTTTACCAACTCAAGTGATTTTTTTTTAAAACATTTTTTTAGTTCCAGGTCTTCAAAAACTCTCAGAGAGCAAAAATATTCGACAAAATATTACATGGATCAAATGAAATGTGTTTCTGATCGTTTTTCTGGTGATGTGAATCCTAATTTTTGAGTTCTTAACACGCTGGATTCACATGTTTAGAATGTCACTGTTAATAAGAGTTTGTCCAGGGCAGATTGAGTGAAACTACAGCTAAACCTGAATGTGGCTTGAGATCACGGCCGGTTTGATTTAGACTCAACGCCCTGTCTTGTTCTTCCACAGATAATTGGCAACACACGGACATGTACGTACATCCAGGAGCACTCCATAGTCGATCCCAAAGAGAAAACCTTTGAGCTTCAGTCGACTAATGTAAGTGATATCAGTGCACACGTGTCGGTACACATGCCGAACCCTGATCAGCACTTTTCATTTATAACCGCATTCATATAGCACTGTCCCATTGCCTTTTTCCTCCATCACATATTTTAGTAATCATCATTAATTGGGTATCATTTGGAAGCTGAAACACTCAAAATTCATCTTGTGAAAATGGTTAAATTGAAAACGCTGCTTCCTCGCACTTTGTAACAAATCCTTCCCTCGCCGGTTAAAATGACCCGAAGCCACTTATATATATATATATATTTTGTCCAGAAAGCTTATTTTTATTTCATTTTGATAATATTTTTTCTATTTTGTAATGCAATTTTTGGTAGTTTTTTTCTTTTATTTGTTCTTTTATTTACCTTTAAATGACTAGATTTGATCAATACATAATAAATAAATAGTAATTTAAGCACATTCCTCACATTCTTTCAACTTAAATTCAAAATAACTCACAATTTCATGCATAACCCTTTTAATTCAGCTCAAAATATCTTACATTGGAAGTCTTTGCTGATCCTCTTGTGGAAAAATAATAACAACGCATGATATTTCATGCCTCTAGATGGGCTTATATCTCTATATGGAGCAGAGGAACTGTTCCGCTGGGTCCTAAAGCCAGTTTCTCTTCTGTGTGCATACACATACACATGTAGACATTATAAAATAATTTCTTGGTAAAGTTTTAGCTGGTCAAAGTGACCCGAGAGGGGCGGATTTGTTACACTTTAAAATTTCAACCACTCAACCTCGAATCCATTACATTGTTTTTGTGTGTATTCGTGGTTCAAGTGCAACAAAAGCCCTGGGGTCTTTGACCCCTCTAATGAACACTCAATTTGAAAAAAATGTGAAAAATGAGTTTGGGGTTAAACTGGCCCTAGGGAAGGATGAGGTTGCATCATTATAGCAGCACAGTTGTCAAGATATCAAGTTATTGTGAACCTGTCAGGACGTTTCTGGTTTGTCAGCATTTCCTGCACACCTTTTCTCATGCGTTCATGTTCTGGCCTTTAGCTGTTCAGTTTGTGTGAATGTCATCTGGAATGAGACACGGCCAGTCTGTGCATAACAGAGTTGCATTTTGGGAGGGCGTTGGTTTCTCTTATGGTTGCATATTTTATAGATGTGTCATATTTATCGCCTGCCTTGTTTCCTCACCGTAGATCACCTTCACTAACATGGTGTCTGTGGACGAGCGGCTCACGTACCGCCCGCACCCGGAGGACCCGGAGAAGTAAGAGTCCCTCTCTGTTCCCCTGCCATGAGGCTAATACAAGTGGCTTACACGTTCTGCACATTAGGGCTGTCAAATATCAAAAATTCGTCGAATGCAAAAAATGTGCATTGGTGTGTCAAGAGGCGCTTCTAATGACATACGGAAGAGTAAATGATGAAACCATGATCATGTTTGTGTTGAACTGTCCCTGTAAACAGCATGTACGGTGTTGTGTGTGTGTGTGTTGACGGTCTGCTGCTCCTACAGGACGATGCTCACGCAGGAGGCCATCATCTCTGTGAAGGGTGTCAGTCTGAGTAGCTATCTGGAGGGACTCATGGCATCAACCATCTCCGCCAATGCAGGAAAGGTCAGAAAACCAAAACACGAGGCAACCTGTCACTCACATGAGACACAACCTGTCACTCAGACACATTCAAGCCCCGCCCACATTTGTTCTTGTCCCAGAAGCGTTTCACTCAGATATACGACACTAGAGGAGAAAAGACTAGCGCAACTTCCCTTTCATGCTGAGTTTAAAGGGTGAAATGCCTTTAAATGAACCTGGATATATCAGAGGCCTCATAGATTTATACAATTAATATCCCTTTTCTCCGTTCTTCTGTGTTTCGTCAGCGTCACGGCTCTCGTCTGCTGTAGCGCTCGACTCATATTGATCTGTTTGATGCTGATATATTTCACTTAACACTATTCAATTGAAAATGCATGCATAACACATTCTGAAAGGTAAAATAAATATACATTATATAATGTTTGCTCAATTAGAACTAAGTTGAAAATGAATTGCATGAAAAAAATAACAGATTTAAACCTTAGACAACTTTTTGATTCTCTAATACTATTAATAAATCGTTAAATCCAACAGGGCAGTCAGAAATCTGATAAATATGTGTGCATTGGGAATCATATTTAAAAAATAAAATAAAACAAGGAAATTAATTAGTAATAATAGAAAAGCAAATGCTATGATACGTATTTTTAATCCATTTAATATCTTTCTTGCACTGTTTTGTCCAATAATGTATGTATTTGAGGAACTGTTAAACAGAGGCAGTGGATTAATGAAGACGGAGAATGTCAAAATAAAAGTCCCCTTTGCTGTCAAGATAAAAGTCTCATTGGCCAAGCAGAAAAACGGCCAATGCAATTAATAACTGCTAAATAATGACAGATTAATGAGTGAATTCGAGTGTCAGTTCTTTTCAGTAAATGGCTTACAAAAACCAGTCCATTCCTCCAGTTATCAGTCAGTTATAGATCTAAATAATGACTCTGTAGAGTCTTGCGTTTGACTAAGTTTGCGTCATTGATTCTGTAGTTGTCCTGTTTATTACAGTGAAATATCTGTATAAAGTGCTCCAGAAATATAGCTGTCTCAACTCAACTTTTATTTATAGAGCGCTTTCAAAACCATTAGAATGGACCAAAGTGCTGTCCATAAATAGTAAATAACTCTAAAAAACAAGATTCAAGACACCAAGAAAACCATAACACCAATCTCTCACAGTTCTCAGACCTGATCAAACGCTGAAAGCGTGATAAAATAAACAAGTCTTCAAGTCCTTTTTAAAACGATCCAGGCTTGACGAGGATTTCAACCTGATCACAGACATAGTATCCATCCATCCCTCCATCCATCCCTCCCTCCCTCCCTCCATCCCTCCATCCATCCCTCCATCCATCCCTCCCTCCCTCCCTCCCTCCATCCCTCCATCCTTCCATCCATCCATCCCTCCATCCATCCGTCCATCCCTCCATCCATCCATCCCTCCATCCATCCATCCGTCCATCCCTCCGTCCATCCATCCCTCCATCCATCCATCCCTCCGTCCATCCATCCCTCCATCCATCCGTCCATCCATCCATCCATCCATCCCTCCATCCATCCATCCCTCCATCCATCCCTCCGTCCATCCATCCATCCATCCATCCGTCCGTCCGTCCATCCATCCATCCATCCATCCATCCATCCCTCCATCCATCCATCCCTCCATCCATCCATCCATCCATCCCTCCGTCCGTCCATCCATCCATCCATCCATCCATCCATCCATCCCTCCATCCCTCCATCCATCCATCCATCCCTCCATCCATCCCTCCATCCATCCATCCCTCCATCCATCCCTCCATCCATCCCTCCATCCATCCATCCCTCCATCCATCCCTCCATCCATCCATCCATCCATCCAGACTTGTGAATGTTTGTACGTTTGCATCATTGATTCTGTTATTTTCCTGTTTATTACAGTGAAATATCTGTATAAAGTGCTCCAGAAATATAGCTAGACATCAAAGTTAGCTCGACTTGTGGCTGAAAGATTGTGCGGTGTCTCTGACGTGTGTGTGTGTGTGTGTGCAGGGTCGTGAGGCGATGGAGTGGGTGATCCGGCGCCTGAACACTGAGATCGAGGAGCTGGCCATCACAGCGAGAGGAACCCTGAGGACGCCGATGGCCGCCGCTGTCACTGAGAAGTGAACGCCAGTCCTGCGCTCTCCTCTCGGTGTGTGCCGAGGAACTCCTCTGCGTCCCGCGTGTTCAAGCGTCTACATTAGAGGCTGCGGGACGGCGAGCGCCGCACAACACCACGAGGAGAGTACTTTTATAAACCAGTATAACGGGACTGACCGATGTTCTCTGGTGCTCAGAGGAAACTTTCCCACGTTTCCCAGACTGCAGACGTACGACGCGTCGCTTCACCAGCACTTGAAAATTGTTAGCAATATTATAACTTATTATATTACTATTATACTGTTAAAACAAGGAAGGGAACAAACTAATCCAGGACCATCAGACGTGTGTGTGTTGGATTCTTCACAACGGCCTCCTTAGAAAACAAACGAGCACTAAATGACATATAAGACTACAGAGAATAGAATGACATCATCATCATGTGACTCATCATGTGACTCGAGAATGTTCAACGCACTGCTAATTATCCGTAGTGAACATGTGCTTTGAGTTTAACCGAACAGGAGGCGGATGGGATGTTGGATCCGGACGCGATGTGTGTGTGTGATGGGAAACATCAGAGATGTGCCTTCTGCAGTGTGTGACTTAAAGAGGGGGAATACATTCTATTTATTTATTTATGTTTTGTAGATTTATGGAATTTCAACTCCAGCATCCGAACCATTATGCAGATGAATATCAGTCCAGAACCTGTTCACTGAGCGTGACGTCACCGTGGAGACTGTAGTGTGTGTGTGTGTGTGTGTGTGTTATTGCTCAGCACGGACATCTTTACGCAGCGCCACACGGAACGCTGTGTTTTTGTTTCCTTCTCAATAGATATTGCATTTTTGTTGGGTTTTACTGGTATATTGTGATGAACTAAAATTAAACATAACGGCATTTAAACAACTTATTTATATTAAATGTAAATATTTGTTTACAGGCATACTTAGTATTAAATATTGACAGAAGCAACTTGGAATCTTTTAGTTTGTGCCGGTACTGACGAAACGAGGTGATCTCGTCCATCATCTGTTCTCAGAACAGCCAAAGCTATTAAATAAACTAACATTCATACTAAACAGTGGCTTGTGTTGTTCTGTGAACTGAAGGAGGAACAGCAACTGTGTTTCATGGGAAACATGACACTTCTGGGTATTTGTTTACAATTTAGAATAAATGTTTTACAAAAAGAGCAAGGCATTTGATGGAGATTTGTGTGTGTGGAAGTAGTTTAGGCAAGGCAAGGCAAGTTTATTTATATAGCACATTTCATACACAATGGTAATTAAAAGTGCTTTACATAGAAGAAATTAAAATAATCAAAACAAATAAGAATAATTAAAACAGTTTAGAATAAAAAATAAAATAAAGTACAGTGCAAACAGTCGGACGAACAGTGGCACAGTGCTCATTCAGTAAATGCACAGCTAAACAGAAGTGTTTTGAGTCTGGATTTGAATGTGACTACTGTAGGAGCACATCTGATGCACATTTAGAAGTCTTCTACAAACCACACCGCTTTCTGTTTCATATCTGAGCATTATTGAAATACAGCGGGGTTTGATGGAAGACAAACACTACAGATAAATAAGGCTCCATTTTTATTTATTTATTATTAGACATTAAGGACATAACATACAACATTTAAAACTATAACAAGATATCCAAAAAAGATAACTAAATGGATTGGTTTACAATACACAAAATAAATATATTTACATATACATTAATTTAAATATGAAACTAAAATCAATCAGTACTTAAAGAAAGAAGAGCCATAATAAATAAGGCTCTAATGCCATTACATCCTTATTTAGCCGTTATTATTACTATATTAATTTAAATATAAGTACAGAAAATAAACAAATCAATCAATAATTAGTCCTTAAAGAAAGAAGAGCCATAATAAATAAGGCTCTAATGCCATTACATCCTAATTTAGCCTTTATTACGTCACACAGAGGAAGGCCACGAAAAATATATAAGTATACATATAATATTAATTTAAATACAAGTAAAGAAAGCAAATAAATCAATAATGAGTCCTTAAAGAAAGAAGAGCCATAATAATACTCTAATACCATTACATCCTTATTTAGCCGTTATGACGTCACGCAGAGGAAGGCCGCGGCTACAAAGTGTCATTACCCGAGTCAGCTGTTGCCTTTGACTGTCTATGGATGTTACATTGTAGCCGTTCTTGTGCGCGACGATCTTTCGCGCCCCCTGCTGGTCATCCGCGTCACAATGACACGTTTTCCCGGCATCACTTGCGGGGCCCTTGCGTCACACGACGGAGTCTCCAGCAACCAATAGGATTCCTGTTTACTGTGCGTTCTGACCAATCAAAATCTGGTTATATTTAAAGGTATTTAAAAGTGGGACGTTTGAAATAAAACAGGCCAGACTCGCGGTCGCTGAGGAGAATCGTGTCATCCTCTCGAGGGATAAATATACTTTTTAATGAGTTTTATCGATGTTAAATATCACACACGACTGATTTAGTCGATGGTAACGGGTTATTAACTCGGTGAGGAGGTTATCGTCGTGTTTCTGTGGTATTTGCGGAGGATTTGTCGTGAGGAAACGGCTAACGAAGGTAACGCGTCACAACGACGCAAAAATACGTTTGAATTGTATTTATCACTAACTTATTTTAATCTATAAATCTGTGTTTTGATGCAAACCTTCGTTTGTATGTCATCTGAACGGAGACCATCGTGTGACGGTTTAATGTCGATATACATGTTAATCCAGTACACTTACTTTCTCTTCTGATGTGGGTAATATATGCATTTAATCAATTAATATGTCACTGTTTAATCTCAGAATATGGAAACCGCTTCAAGAACCAAATCAAACAAAGATCTGAAGATTCAACGACCTGAAAATGAGAAGGTATTATAGGAACTGTATATTGTTATTATTAGCGTCTGTATTTTAAAAAAAGAAATTTAGGATATTGATGAGAAATCTGATCAAAGCACTGATCATGTGCAAAGATTATTTTCCATTACCTGTAGTCTTTTCACCTTTAAAAGTCACAAACTAATGGTATTTCCTCTGTTTTTGTCTTTGATTGCATTTATCATCTGTTATACTGTTAAAATGCACATTTTAAAAAGCAGCTATTTTTTTTGTAATCACTAACTAATCAAAGTCATTATTTAAGTGTTTTTTCGATTCCATTCATCTGACATTTCAGGATTACAATTTTACGTTTAAATTAGTTTCAGAGAACATTAAAAAGTAATTTAACATTCACCTTTGAAAATGACAAACTTCTACCTCTGTGTCTTTAATTGCATTTATCATGTTTTACTGTTAAATGCACATTTTAAAAAGGATATGTGTGTATATTTATTTTTTTAAATCTATTAATCAAAGTCTTTATTTAAATGTTTTTTCCTGTAAGCGCAGGTGATTCTATCCATCCTTACAAGAGTGTTTTCATTGTTGCAATTTTAAATGTTAGCCTACTACTTGTTTCAGAGTACAGTTAATTTAATATTCAACAATATTATTGATCTCCTGCATTGACACCATTATATGAAAGCTGGATGATGACATCACGGTTTTCTCCAAAAGCTTGCTATATATATATATATATATATATATATATATATATATATATATATATATATATATATATATATATATATATATATATATAAATTTTTAAATAAACTAAATAAATAACTGTTTTACAACTAAAATGAAGCATCACTGAACTTGCTTAAGCTGGACTGTGACGCTCTTCTCTTCTGGAAACAAACTTTGTTGCATAGTTGTCCTGTTGTCTCTGTAAAGCTGCTCTGAAACACTCTGTGTTGGTGAAAGCGCTGTATAAATAAAGCTTGACTTGACATTGGGATGTTCTGCAGGGTTCTGGACCCAAAAGAGTCCCGGTGACCCAGAAGCCCGTGTCGACCCCGCACATGCGTGTTCTCGCGTCGGCACACGGACCCCAGCGCATCCAGCGCCCTGCCAGCCAGCAGAAACCCACTGGAGTCCCGGTTCTGGGGAAGAGCTCGCATCCCGGAGACCAGAACGCCAATCCAGATCTACACAAACCGCAACCGAAGCCGGTTCCTGTAGCCGAGCCTAATAAAGCTCCCGAACCCAGCAAACCTCTCCGTAAGCATGGACACATCCCTTCTTAATCACATCCTTAATGTCGAGGACATCAGAATGACTCTTTCTGTCCTTTTCCAGAAACTCCTTCTAAGGGCACGTCCAATAATGCAAAGTAAGTTATTTACAAATACTTAAACTCCATGAATTCAGTCCCAATGGTCAGAGTTTTTCATCTTTTTTAAATCGATTGTTTATCTGCTCTTTAGGAAAGCATGGAGTTTGGAGAATTTCGACATCGGCCGAGCTCTGGGCAAAGGCAAGTTTGGGAGTGTGTATCTGGCCAGGGAACGCCAGACCAAGTTCATCCTGGCGCTGAAGGTCCTGTTTAAGAAGCAGCTGGAGAAGGCCGGCGTCGAGCACCAGCTCCGGCGGGAGGTGGAGATACAGTCCCATCTCAGGTGTGTGTGTGTGTGGCGGTTTCATCTAGGGCTGTGATGCTATCCGTTTTATACCATATATACACTCACCTAAAGGATTATTAGGAACACCTGTTCAATTTCTCATTAATGCAATTATCTAATCAGCCAATCACATGGCAGTTGCTTCAATGCATTTAGGGGTGTGGTCCTGGTCAAGACAATCTCCTGAACTCCAAACTGAATGTCAGAATGGGAAAGAAAGGTGATTTAAGCAGTTTTGAGCGTGGCATGGTTGTTGGTGCCAGACGGGCCGGTCTGAGTATTTCACAATCTGCTCAGTTACTGGGATTTTCACGCACAACCATTTCTAGGGTTTACAAAGAATGGTGTGAAAAGGGAAAAGCATCCAGTATGCGGCAGTCCTGTGGGCGAAAATGCCTTGTTGATGCTAGAGGTCAGAGGAGAATGGCCAGACTGGTTCAAGCTGATAGAAGAGCAACTTTGACTGAAATAACCACTCGTTACAACCGAGGTATGCAGCAAAGCATTTGTGAAGCCATTGTGGTGTCAGTGTAGGTGAAAGCGCTGACGGTGACACGTGCCTCTCTCTCAACACCGGTGATACCCCTCAGTTGGTCAGAACTAAAGTGGATGTTTCGTGTTCAGACATTTACCAGTGAAAACTCTCATGTTGGTCATACTTTCCAAAAGTGTAATCTGTGACTGCGAACGGCAGTTTCCACACCGGCGGCGACTGACAGCCTCACTCAAGCATTGTTCATCCGTGCCGAGGCACAACCCCCGTACAGCGGATCATTCCACCAGGAACTGCAATTGCAGGTTTCGAACAGAGATGGCGACAGAGGAAGAACTGGAGAAAAGAACAAGAGATTCCATGTCCAGTGGAGTAACTAATGGAATATTGTTACATTCGCTGATAATCGAGTGACCAGATCGCAAAACCATACAAGGCTTACATTTATGGGCTCACGCTTAACTCTCTCATTCGTCACGAATCGAAACGTTTCCAAATAAAGCTTTACTACACGACTTGTGCTGGTTTTTGGCAGGATTTTCTGCGCTAACTGCTGAAAGTCAGAGCCTTGTGTGATGCGCAAAGACTACAAATATTTATTTTAAAGTCCCCTGTAGTCGATCATTTTAACCCTTAACTCATCTTTGATCACCAAAATTACATATTTAAACTTTTTTCTTTAAAATCGTCATGCCTTAAAATATCTTGAATGAAACTCGACACCCTCGCCTCATTTAGTTTGCGCGGTTCTATGAATATGCAGATGAGCCCCGCCTCCACTCACTCCCTCAGCTCAGAGATCCACTGGTTGACGATCACACGTTGATCTGATTGGTTACAAGGTCGTTTGTGACGTCAGAAACACCAGCGATTTCAAACCGTGTTTTTGAGACTGTCTTTGGTTCACTGCAGTTTTAAGGAGGAAATACTCAGCAATGCTGTCGACTTATGAACTTACACTTTTTTTCTTCTTCAGTTTTTCTCTGGATTTGAAGTAGTGCACGCTTCCAAACCCTGCAACAAAAAAAATCTAAATCAATGTAAAAAACGGACACTGCTTTATCTGTTCCCATGAGTCCTTCGTATTCAACCTTGCGATATATTAAAGTTTGATGAGAGCAGTGTAACAGGTTTATTTCTTCAGTTTTTCTCTGTAACCTTTAGAGTCAGCAAGTGTGTGTGTGTGATGCGTAGCTTTGAGTCGTTCGCTCAAATCTCCTAAAGACTCCAGTGTTTCCCCTAGAAGTGCTTCCAGCAGCGGTGCGGTCACGTGCCGGAGGATGTGCGGGGTCCGGGGGCATGTACCTCCGGAAGAATCTTTTTAAAAAATAACCCCTTAAACCACATGTCAATTACAAGGCCCGCGGGCCAAACACGGCCCGCCACGACTTTTAATCAGGCCCGCCAACAAATTCTGGTGATCAATTTAATGTGGCCCGTGCGCTGTTTAAAAATACGTCTGTGAATATTACAACACCGCGTTTCCATTACCCTTCAAATTGCGCAAATTGAAATTGCGAATTGAAAATACGCTCAATGGAAACACGTCCATTTTGCAAAAACTCCCGTTTAGGCCTATCGCAAAAAAGTTTTTACGCTTGCATGAGGAGGTTTTTCAGGCAATTCGAAAAAGGAATATTTCGCAAAACTGCAATGGAAACAGGTTTTGCGCATTTACAGTCAGCTGACTTAGAAGACGCGGGGATAATAATAATAATTATCATCATTATTATAACATTTATTAGGCTACATATGTAGAAGACGCTTTTATCCAAAAAAGGAACAAAGCAATTCGTCACATCCCATTCATAATACAGGGCTAAGATTATCACAAATAGGCTAAACAAGATTTTGACCCATATCCAAGTGTGTGTGCGAGTGTGGAGCGCGCACTGGATGGCGCGGACGCGAACACTTGCATTTTCCTATCAACAGTGGAAACAACTTAAAATACTCTATCATTTCTGGTCATACAGAAAATAATAATACATTATTCGCAACTACTTTGTGTAAACTCACAATAACAAGAAAACGTTGTGCTTTTGTAAAATAACATAAAACAATCAGGCGCGATTCATGGTCTCCGTGAACTGAAGCGCTAGAACTGAAACTAAATATAGCCTAAGCTAAAGCTTGAAATGTCCACTTTAAAACGAACAAATTTGAATCGAAAGCTAACACCTTCTGATTATGTAATCCGTATGAAAGGTGCATTTCTCTCCAAAGGTGCATCCGGCGTATACAGCGGAGATGGAGATGTTTTAGCCGACACTGATTTTTTATTAATAAACAATTAAAATATCTTATTTTTTTCAGACACATTTATTATAGCCTATAACTCACCTATAAATCACCTTTCTGTGGGCTGTGGACCTGTGGTTATATGGCTCTTCTCATTCAGCACTGCGGGAAAAATATAATTTCCAGGTTCTAATTTGGCCTTAGAAAACCAGTAAAATCTACATTTTTTTTTTCATATTAATTTTTCAATATTTTAAATGTTTAATAAAGGGGCAAAAAGTCATAAACAAAAATCTGAAAATTTGTCGACATTTATTTTTTTGCGCAGCATTTGGTTTGTAGGTACAGTTCAAATAAAAATTTTGGTGTTCAACTTTGCGTTTTAAAAATACAACCATTCATTTTTCGTTTTGCAATTACGGATTAAATAAGGAAAAACGAATGGACACAAAAGTACACTGACCGTTTGGACATAATACAAGACAGAGTTCTTTATTAAATTCATAAAAGAAACAATAATTACAGGAATACTGGATTCTAAACCTCAAAGAAATGCCACAATCAAGACCTCGGAGCAGAAATGAGGGAGAAACAGCCAGGAACTCTTAGGCTATAGGCCTATGTGCCGTTCGCAGTATAAGGGTCTGCCATTAATGCGTGGATAACACTCCACGTCTCCTTCCATTAATAATAATAATGTCTAGTGCGGTGGCTGTGATATAGGCTATAAACCTACCAACATCCGTTACCATGATTTTTGGAATGACTTATCGCGAGAGCATGGGCGGCGCTAGGGAGGGGCTAGCAGGTGCTTCAGCACCCCCAAGAAAGACCAAAGCACCCCGATAGCACCCCCCAAAATAATGTCTGGAATCAATTATATTCAAATATATGTTATTTCGAGATATTAAGTCGTTATTTCAATATATTATCTCGGTATTTCGACATAATAACGGCAAATTTTTGTCCCGCCAAAGCCTTTTTTGATCGGTGAGTGATGTAGAATGACTGCTGCGCTTGACAGGGCGCATCACGAGCAGAGGAGAGCGCCGCCCGCGCGCACTCTCACGTCTTCAAACACTTCTCGCGCATATTAATCAAAATCAATTGACACGATAGTAAAAGGTCGGAAGACCGCAGTTTCACGTGGAGCATTTGGAGATTTGTTCTCCTGAATTACCGCGGTGTGTGAATTGTGCTAAAAAAAACCACGTTGCCTAGCTTATCGTCTCTAAAAAGCGTTCCGCCCATTCAGCTGACCTAAACCACATTTCAATAAACGAAAAAACCTATCCAGTGATATGTTTTCTGTATTGACGCAAATCTTGTGCGATGTCCTAAACTGCCGAGATAATCACACAAGCGTGCCGTAGACGTCCACTAATGACGTCCGATACGCAAACGAATGACTCATTTTAATCATTCACTTTAATGAATAGTTAAAACAACTGACATGTCTAACACTGAACTCACGAGACCTCTGAATCGGTGAATAAAAAATCAGTAACACTTAATTAGATTAGTTAACATATACTATTAATTAACTGCACTTCAGCATTGTTAATGTTAATTGTTTCAATATTTAGAGAGTCAGGCCCACTATATGTGTGTTGTAGCCATTAAATAAGCGCATTTAATTTCATTTTTGTTAAAATATTATAAAGTAATAATAATAATAAAAAAACAATGTATTTCCATAGAGCGAGAGTGTCAGGCAACGCAACGCGTTATACTCGCACTATGAGCCGCGGCTGACTGGATGAGCGTCGAGCAAGCGTCTGTAAGCTGCCAGTCGGATCACGGCCATTTGACTGGTTATATTGGGATAACAGTCCTCAAAACAGCAATCATACTAAAGAACATAATCATATCAACAGATGCATAATAAATGAGCTAGAAAGGGAGGAACACAAAACACAAAAACTGTCAAAAATCAATGGTTTCTGAAACTTGCCAAAGGCAGACTGCCAGACAACTAGCCAGCCACTGGCAGGTCACGTGACCTGCCAGTGGCGGCTCCTGCCAGCCAGCTGAAGATTGAACCCCCACTCAAAATAAGCCAAATAATAACATTTTCAGATGTCATTTGTTATCAATACATTTATCTATATTTATCTACCATTTGTTGAATATTTTGCTTTATCAAACAGTTTTATGATTTTTTTTTTTAAAGTACTGTTTGTTTTAAAGTACTGTTTTATGCTACTGTTTTAAATTACTGTTATGCAGTTATGCTGGTCAGAGACTTTGCTCCTGACACATGTTTTGTGAAATATGTAAAAATGTGTTATTACTCAAAATTAAAAAATAAAACCTTGTTATGATAATGTAGTTTAAAGAATTGAGATGTTTTTTTATACAGTTAGCCTACTAATACACTTATATTTCAATAAATGAAAAATCCTCTAAATATATATCCGGCCCCTGATTTTATTCACAACCCTCAGCATGGCCCTTACTGAGTTTGAATTTGACACCCCTGCCTTAAACCATGACTTCTGCCAAGTTTTGTGGATAGAAATGGACATTTTGAGACATACAAATATGACATACCCTCAACAGATTCAAGGCATGATTATTGCAGCACGCACCTTAAACTGGTCACAAACAGAAACCTTCATTTTATAATTTTAGACTGAATTTTTCACGTTTTTGTTTTGTGTTAATTTTCAGCTATAAGGTCGATATTGATAGGGGAAAAATGAAATGGCACATTCACAACCCAGAAAAAAGATTATTTAGAATTTATTGAAAATGTTATCTTAATGGCAAAGGCCACACCCAATCTGTGAGCACTTCATTTTCCTAACATTTTTAAAATCAAAAGATTTGTTAACATTATTTAATGCACAATGAAGGAAGTGAACAAACATGAACAATCAAGTGTTTGTATTAAATAACATTCACAAACATTAATTCATGTTGTAAAAATATATTGTTCACTCAATGTGCTGATGTTAGATAACGCATTAAGTAATGTTAATGAGTGGTGTCTTATTGTAGTGTGACCTAACAATACAGGAGATAAAACGGGTTTTATTTGACTTGACTGTACTTTTATTTAATCCAAAACTGTGTTCATATTTAATTTTAAAAGGCTTTTTAAACCCGCTAAGAGAGATCCAGCCAAGAATAAGCCTTGAACTCCTTTTCTGACGGACTAAAGGCCATTACACACGGAGTCCAAAATTCGCATCCGAAATTTTAGTTAGCACGTTAGCAACTAATGGTCAATCACGCTTGCACACCGCCTCTGAAACTGCGTGTGTGTGTGTCCATACCTGCTTAGACATACTGCCTGTCTCTGTTCAGGATCGATTGGTTCACAGAAATGGGTGGTCGTCTTCTTAATATGTGGCTCCAGAATCGCTAGCAAAGCATCAAACTGTTCCACTGACATTCTGAAGTAAATTTTGAATCGCTCGGGATAAATTCGCAACTCCTTGATAAGGAAGTGGAACTCCTTCCTCTCGGCGCAATTTCAGGATTGGATGGACCCAAAATTTTCTCTTTATTCTCATTTCAATAAGCGAGAGGGCAACAAAATCATCCTTACTGCTTGATGAATCCATTTTGTATTTTTGTGTGTTTTTTCCCCGCAAAGGTTTAATAAATGCGCATCGGACTCGGTGTGCAAGGTTTCTGTGCGTGACGAATTTTTAGGCGGACGAACACGGAAAAACGCATATGAAAATTTCTGACTCAGTGTGCAATGGCCTTAATAATGGCATAAACAGCACTCGGGTGTCAGTTGCTCATGTACTCCTACTCGTAAAACTACCCCGATACACCCGCACCCGAGTCCACTTTAGGGGCCGTTCACATATCGCGTTTTTTGTGCGCAAATTTGTTATTTCAATTGTAGGCATCGTAACATCTCATCTCAACAGGCCATGTGACAAAAACCAACCGATCAGCTTCGGCCTTTCCGTAACAACATCGACAGCTCGGCCGAACAGCTGATCATAGCTCTACAGGGCGGCTTTTTATTTCTCATCTCCTTAACTATATCTAGTAGTAAAGCTAATGCAAGGGCTAGAAATCAATGGGTCTCATTCATGAAACATTCGTAAATATACGAGTAAATATGCGAGTGATTTGCGCGTAAAGAGACCTTCCCGAAAACTCTTCTCCTGATTCACAAATACTTCGTAAACGTCAGATGTGATAGTGAAATGTGTGTGTGTGTTAATGAATTCCAATCAGTCGTAAATGGGATGCGCGTGCACGTTCATTCTCAATTACCATAAATCCCGCCCATTAAATCCGACTGACAACTGTATATGGGCGTCATATGACATGATTATGCGAATGAAAAAAAAAAAATTTCTCAGATGCAGAAATTGAAGTTTTATTATCATAAGTTTATTCAAATTGCCACATTTTATTTTCAAGCGTATGCCTACATAGTGGGGTATCGGGTCCTAAAAAAAAGCAAGCTTGGCAGCATATTACAGATGCAGATACTAGAGTTTCATCTGTTAATCGAACATTCCCAGAAGTGAAGAAAATGGTTCGACATTAAGCTTGAGAGCAAAAAACGAATTAGTTCACTTCGGAAAAATAGTATTCAAACTGGAGAAGGACCACCATTGCAGATGCTATTACTGCTCTCATAATAAGAAAAACCGTATGTAAGTACTATATATAATATTTTTTCAAAATGCTGTGCAAATATGTACCCGATTAAGGTGAATTAAAATGCAGCCTTATTAATGAGCCAAACGTTCGGGTGTTAAGCGCACTATGTACGCGTGGCTGGGAGAAGGTGTAGATTTCTTGTGTGCCAACTAACATTTGGAAAATACGAACATTTTAATGAATCCGAAAATTTACGCCAGAACCACTTTACACACGATTTACACAAATTCGTTCTGCTTGTGTTTCATGAATGAGACCCAATGAATTCTTTGCTGATACTTCCTCGTCCTCATGGAGAGCGCCGCTTTCTCCTTTCCACAAGCGCTTGCTCTCCCGTGGCGTCTGTCGTTGCTACGAGCACGCTTCCCGCGCGCCTACATTAACGAATTTGCACGCGCAGAAAAAAGCGTTGTGAACGGCCCCTTATGGCAACGTGACATTAGCCTAATCGAAAATATTTCCATATGTGGCTCTTTCCTCCTTTCTTGTCAACAAGCGGATTCAGAGCCGCCGCATTAGCAGCGCCGGCGGTCGCCGTGTCTCAGTGTGTAAGTGAATGTCGTGATATTACTGATCATGTGAAGATTTAGCAGCGGCGCTGAAAATCCAGTGGTGCTAAATACATTGTAGGGGAAACACTAAACTCGTTATCCAGCAAACAAAGATCCGGGGAGATTTGTGAACTTCAGCGTTGAGACTCATGCTTTACGATATGCGTGTTGTGAACTGACTCTTGTGTTCTCCTCTTTCAGACATCCCAACATACTGCGCCTGTACGGTTACTTCCACGACACGGCGCGCGTTTATCTCATCCTGGAGTTCGCTCCTAAAGGAGAGCTGTACGGAGAGCTGCAGCGCTGCGGGAGCTTCAATGACCAGCGCAGTGCCACTGTAAGAGGGGTTCGGGCGTACGTTAAAGGTGCAGTGTGTGAGTTTAGCGGCATCTAGTGGTGAGGTGGTGAATCGCACCCAACAGAAGTTACGCTGGCCGACAGGAAGTGATGTCGTCGTCTGAGTCCGCAGAGAGTAGCCAGTTAAGCAATGAGGTTTTTTACAAATATAAATTAAGAAATTATATTAACTTATTCAGTAAAACGATGTTATTGCGGATATTGCTACTTGTTCATCATTGTGTCAGTGTTTTATTCGCTGACTTTAGCAGCTTCTTATCATGAAGAACAAAAGGGTAATGAAATGCGCTGTGGTAGTTTGTCCGTTTAGGGCAGTGGTTCTCAACCTCTCCTGCAGGGACCCCCTGACAGGCCATGTTTTTGTTTTAACTCTGAAATGGCACACCTGATTCAAGTAATTAAAGGCTTAATGAGTAATTAGAGTAGGAATAGTTCAATTAATCAATTAGTCAACTACTCATTAAGCCTCTAATGACTTGAATCAGGTGTGCCATTTCAGGGTTAAAACAGAAACATGGCCTGTCAGGGGGTCCCTGCAGGAGAGGTTGAGAAACACTGGTTTAGGGCCACCGTAGAAACACGTCGCACAAAATGGCTATTTCAGTGTTCCCACGGTGTGTGTAGATTAATCTATTCTAAGCTAATAAAAACACAACGGTTCGTTATGTAAGCTCTTTATACACCACTGAAAACAGTTATGTTTATAATATTGCATTTGTCAACAGATCCTCCTAAATATTACACACTGCACCTTTAAACATGAGCAAAGACTTTTAAGTCAGTAACGTCTCCTAATGTGTGTGTGTATGTGTGTTTGCAGTATATAATGGAGCTCGCGGATGCTCTGAGCTACTGCCACTCGAAGAACGTGATCCACAGAGACATCAAACCCGAGAACCTGTTGCTGGGGGCCAATGGAGAGCTGAAGATCGCAGACTTCGGGTGGTCCGTCCACACGCCCTCCTCCAGGTGACTCCCGCTGACGTGCGACGTGATTGGGCGAGCAACGGGCCGCAGTTCACACGCGTGTTTCGCGGATTAACTCCAATCCAACTTTATTTGTTAAGCACTTTTAAACAACCAAAGTTGACCAAAGGGCTGTACAGAAAAATAATCACATGAGGTGCAAAATTACATATAAAATACAACACTAAAATAAAATTAAACAACATAAACATGAGTACAAATAATAGCCACGCAATCAAAATAAGAAATCAAAACAAGTAAATCAACATCTCTCTAGGTGTCAAAGGCCACAGAGAAAAGACGAGTTTAAACTGCTAAATTTATCCATCATAGACTAAAAGTTCATAATTTGGACGGTTTTTTTGTCTTGCCAATTTACACATTCAAACAATTATTAAACGCACGACTCAAAAAATTAGTTTATTTATTTATAATATATGTTGTAGTTAAGTAACAACACGACTAGGGAGCTGTTCTACTGAATATAATAACAATTGCAAATGTTACATTTAACTTATAGTTTAATAAACAAGTAGCCTAGTTAATATATAGTCACTTACAATTTAGATGCAATATTGACCTTTTGTTCTATTAAATAGTAACAAAAGAAAAGCAACACTCAGTGCGGTGTTTTGTTCAATGATTCAGCATTTTAAACGAATCGTTTTAATGAATGAATCGATTCATTTATTAAGACGTCACTTGCATTTTTTTACGTTTGTAATTTTTTACATGACCTTTTTTACATTTGTTTAAACATCAATCTTATAAAATGATTTATTACAGTTGTATTTTGCAGTGTCAATGATTTAATTTGATAAACAGCCCTTATTATTAAAACTGAATTTGATGAAATGTAAGAATTTAAAATATAAAGCATATATTTAAGGTTAAAAAAAAAATTGTCCTTTATAAAGGTAAATAACGCCCTGGGGTAAATGCACAAATATGCCGATTTATGTAAAAGCGGATGAGAATATTGCTTCAGAATAAATCATTTATGACAGCCGCCATTTAAATGTGTATATAAAAAAAAAAAAAAGTAGAAAGATAATTGTCATTAAATGTATTAGAACGTTTTAATTTTGTGTGATTTTTTTGAATGTAAGTAGCCTACAAATAAATAATTTTTAACCTTTAATATTAGAATGATGTACCAACTGGGGTTCCTTATGATCTACAGCATTAGTTAAGAGTTTTGTTTTGTTTTTTCTTTGAAGAAATTTGATATACTGTACCCCAACTTAATTTTTTTTTACAATTTGATTCAATATTGATTTTATTTACTTCAAGCAAAATGTTTCTTGTCAGAATGCACCAGAATGCTTCATTTACATGTTAAAATCATAAATCATATTTTCAGCACTTGTGAATTTGCAGGCAAAAATACATATTTTGTAAAAAAAAAAAAACAGCATTTTTATTTTACTTTCTACACCTTTTTGAAGTTTAAAGAGAGGGTTGCCAGGTTAAGTACGGTTTAGCTGTGGTTTTGTGAGTTTTATCAGAGGTAAGTGTATAGCGTGTTCATGAGAAGGGTGTGTGTGTGTGCTGGTTCAGGGAAACCGTAGTTAATCCCACTGTGTGTGTATCATGTGTGTGTTGCAGGAGGTCGACGCTATGCGGCACGCTCGACTATCTTCCTCCAGAGATGATCGAAGGCAAAACGCACGATGAGAAGGTCGATCTGTGGAGTCTGGGCGTGCTCTGCTACGAGTTTCTGGTCGGCCGGCCGCCTTTTGAGACCAAGAGCCATGAGGAGACGTACCGCAAGATCTCTAGAGTGAGTGAAGCTTCACCGCCTCGTAGTGCTGGCCGTCTGTGCAAAGCCATAACCTGGCCCTTGCCAGATGAATTTCGCTCCGCCTAGCTTCACTCACATCCATCTGGAACCGATCCATTGAAATGGCGTTTCAGAAGGCTGGGCCTTATCAAAAATCCTTGCATATGATTGGATAAGCCACTTGTCTGTCATCTTTATCGACGTGCTATTTCAACCACTCACACCGAAGCCAACCCGTGACGCTGAAGAATCCGGTCGGGAGAAGGCACTGATCTATATAACATCGTTTCCACCAACAAAAGCCTTAAGAGCCGTTCTCTGTTCTTTTTAATGAAACAATATTAGGTAGATTGGACAACACGGATGAAATCAATGTTAACAGCATCAATGTTAACGCTTGTTTCCTCGATGCGAGCCGCCATTGTTTGTCTGAATCAAAACAGTCTCACGGTCGCTTCTCCACTACGTCACATCTATGAAACTCCCGCCCTGCGTCCTGATTGGCTAAACCATAAAGTTGGTTGGAGAAATCACTCTCAATGGAAGAGGTTCCAGATGGATGTGAGTGAAGCTAGGCGGAGCGAAATTCATCTGGCTAGGGCCAGGTTAGCAAAGCCATGCACTCCTCGTAATGCACACTATTGAGCTGAAACTTGACTTTACACAATTAAATCGCAATATTTGTCAGAAATCGCCCACAGAATATTTAGTTCTATGAAAATCGGAGCATGCAATATGTCAATCGATGCACCTCTTGATGGACATGACATCACAACATTTATTATTTCCCTCAAGAGGTGCATCAGTTTTTGGTCCAGATCTTGTATTGTCTCCTCAAGCACATCCCAAAGACTTCCACTAAATTTAAGGTCAATCTGAGCCTAATAAATCTTGACATGTCCTCCTGGAATATGGCCATGATGTGTCGTCTTCCTACATGGTGGTTTAAGAAATGAAAAACTCCATTAATTAGGGTTAGAAGAACTGATGATGATAAAGATTCAAACATAGACTCTAGAAGGGTTAGTTCATCCAAAAATGAGAATTATCCCATAAATTCATAAAGAATATCCTGGCTCTTCCAAGCTTTATAATAATGGGAGTGAATGGTACCTGAGATTTTGAAGTGCATCCATCCATCATAAAAGTAATCATACGACTTCAGGGGGTTAATAAAGGCATTGTGAAGCGACGCCGTGTGTGTAAAATAAAATATCCGTAATTATTACTTGATTGCTAGCTTCCGGTTCCGTCCGCGAATCGAGTTCCGGCGCATGACGTAGGACTGAAGCGTAGCGTGAGATTAGATGCCTCTCGCGTCTAACAAACTCAAGCTCCTCACACATTTCTCTTTAAAAATTCTCGTTTTAGACTTCTAATTCGTGACCAGCGTCTTGTTTTGTTCTATCAGCGCCCATGCGTCGGGTCAGAGGTCACTCTTCCGCCGGAACTAGACTCCCATACAGTCATTACTGGAAGCCAGTGATTATAGTTTATAAAGTTATAAATATGGATATTTTTCTTACACAAACACATGGCTTCACTTCAGAAGGCCTTTATTAACCCCCGGAGCCGTATGGATTACTGTTATGATGGATGGATGCGCTTTTTTGGGCTTCAAAATCACCATTCACTGCCATTATAACGCTTGGAAGAGCCAGGATGTTTTTTAATATAACTCTGTTTGGCTGATAAAGTCATATACACCTAGGATGACTTGAGGGCGAGTAAATCATGGGATAATTCTCATTTTTGGATGAACTATCCCTTTAAGGATTTGCTATAGGCTTTCATGTTTTCTTTCAGTCTTGATTCATTCATCCTCAAGCCACCTCTGTTTCTCTTCAGGTTGAGTTCACCTATCCAGCTCATGTGAGCGAGGGCAGCCGAGACCTGATCAATAGACTGCTGAAGCACAACCCAATGCACCGACTTCCCATCCAGGGAGTACTGGCTCACCCGTGGGTGCTGGAGAACTCCACCAAGAAGCCAACCACTCGCAGCGCCGCCGACGACTGAACGCATGCTGGATTGCAGTTTGGAAAACTCTCTTTGGATGTGAACTTTTGGAACCAAACAGACTCTAAATTTGTCTTGATGTGACTCGCTCTGTCAAACTTTATTATTTGTGTTGCCTTTTTGTGTTTGTATTGTTCACATGCTACAATTTACATGTTTTTGTAAATATGTAATTAAGACACATTGTAAAATTTTAACCATTACTTGAAATAATAAATGTTTTTTTTGTTTTTAAATATAACTTGCAAGGATCTCAATATAGAACTTTTAATGTATTTTTCTGGGTTTGGGAATAAATTGCTTTTAAGCTAAAACATTTGTTGAATGGCTTATCTTAAAAAGGTCTGCTTATTTAATACTTGTATTTGATAATGGGGTTTATTGCTCTCAGATATTGCCATGTTATTGGTTAGGCCTAACTCTCAAACTTTTATTGATGGCCAGATCTATATCTAGGGTAAATCCTGATATATGATGCCGTTTAATCCAAAACTGTCTTCTATGTGAGAACAGAAGGAATGAGAGAGGAGCGCGTGCTTATTTTGTTCCTGTCTATTTGGCGCCTTCGCATATTCAAACTTCGCGCCTTTGACGTGACGGTTAAAGTTTTTCAACATGAAGGCTCGAGATTTGAGCACGATTTTATTTAAGGGGATTTTTATTTTACTACTCGAGTTTCTACTATTGATTACTGTTAGTGTGGTTATTTTAAGCTTTAAAGCCTAACACTTTTTAATTAACGGTATGGAAAACTTCATTCAGGACATTCGGTCAATCGTGCGTTCCGAGTCATGGGTTTGGAACGAAAATAAGGGTGAGTAAATGAAGACAGGATTATTTCCTTCCGTTTGTTTAGTCAATTCCAAACAGTCGTCAAAGTATTATTTTAATATGTGGCAAATGTTGTTCTGATAACACGGTTAAGCTGTCAAAGGCTCAGTTTACCGCTCTTGTCCACTTAGTTCGGTGGTAAACCTAGATTCAGCTCAATGTTTAGCTTTAAAACGGTGTGTCTCGCTTGTATTTGTCAGGCCACGAGTTAGAAGAATAGGTAAGGCCTGTTCTTGTGATGTGCTTTGCAAAGCCTGTGTAATGATGTGTGTTTAGACTGTATGAACACCAGGTGGCGCTCACTCACAGTTTTCCAGACATCGTGTTGTGTAATGAGAAAATGGCCCCTCTGGTTGAACTCTAATTCCCACAATCCAACACGACCAACGTTTGTCAAAATTCTCTACAAGCGTTTATTGCGTTTATAGAGACATAATGGTTTAGAAATTCTTTTGACCTTCTACTTACAATATGACGGTGTAATGCAGAATTATTTTGTGGAGATATAAAACTAAAGTATTTTATGTAGCCTACAACCTTATGTTGTCTGTGAAAATGAAGATGCCTACAATGTCTTCATTTCGCTATTTTTCTATAGACTGTTTTTCACTGTCGACCCTTTTTCAATGTTTCTTTTCTTTTCAGTTTTGCTTTGTTCAGACGCGCGCACACGCAAACCATGTGAATGCACACGTCTCTCTCTATTTTTATTTATTTAAATTATTATGCATTTAGCTTCAGTCCCTGAGAAACAGCCCAGATGTGTGTGTGCTCACAGGTTTACCTGATGAATCCGAGCCGCAAGCAAACATCTGTCGTGCATTTTCTGTGTGAGTTCACCTCATTGTGTCATGCGTCTGAAATGCGAATAACAAGTTGCATTTATCTTTTGCATTTCATTTTTTAAAACACACTGCCTATTTGAAGATTTAAATAAATCGAAAAAAATCTCTAAAGGACAAAATGTAGGCTAATTCATTTATTAGCTGAAGTCTAATGTTTTTGTTTCACAGGCTAATGCTAAATTAAAGCTGCCTATTTCTCTAACCGTAATTATGATACTCAGCCTATAATACATATCGTAATGCATCAAAAATGCTTTTTATTATATTTAGGGAAATTCAGTTATAGCCTAATCTAAAAATAGAATACTTGCAAATGCATAACCCATTCAACAACAACATGTGAAGCTATATCCTATTATTATATAAAATGTGTATGCCTGTATATCGTGTAAATGTGTTGATGCTTTGCCGTTTGGAATAAATCTCTGAGAGCTGGACTCAACTTATTTATTGTTTTGTAGATTTATTCTTTTTTTGAAGGGAAAATATGCACGTGTTTCATTTTTTTCCATATCACACAAAACCAAAAAACAATTGTACAATATAATTTCACGCGTATCTTTATTCTCCAATATATTCATTTTCACGATATATGATAACGATTTTGTGATATACATTCCATCTTTTAAACCACAAAAACACAACACATACGGTTTTATAACATTTCCACAGCACCCATTGGATTGCACAAAATGAACAAAAAAAAAGTCTTATCTAAGTCCCTTTATTTCGACTTGATTTCGATCCAACGACGCTATAAATAAATCTCACCGAGGGGAACAATTGTTAATTGTTTTAATTACGACATTTGATATCTGATAAACAACGCAATGCTCAGAATTCAAATTTAGTGATTTGAGTGGGTGGCTTGTTTTATATTCCCCATGATTTCTTCTGAAATGTCCGTCTATTTTTCGTTTTCCCTCTTCTTTGTCTTCATCTTCAACGACGCGTTATTTTTTCGTTATTTCAATGTCTTGTAAAAATACGAGTCTCTTTGTGTGTTTTCTGGTAGCTACACTAGAGAGCAATTCAAACGAAATTCTCACGTGTCCTCTTTTTCTTCTGACTGACCAGAATATCTGTAATACTGCATGGACATCATATACGTTCAAAATGCATAGTTTAAGTACTTCTATTCACCGTCCATTTGTTATCATCTATCTCTCCCTCTCTAATTTGGTTAAGTAAATGCAAACTGTAATAGGAAAAATAAGACTTGTCCTCAGATCGAATTCGGGAAATCCATAAATTTGTTTCACACATTAAGGTGACTCTACAAACTCTATTGTGTTTTATTGCATGACGTTGGTCCCCTGTAATTAATTTGTTTTAGTTGTTCTTAACCGTGTATTGCAGATCATTGCTTTCCTCCGCTGAATGTCACTCAGATCCACGCGTGTTTTTATGGTTATGTAAAATGATTTCGATTTGGATTCCTGTGTGGAGTCGGGCCGAATCCAATCTGAAATAAATGCTCATGTAAACCATAAACTCACTCAACAACAAAAATAAATGTTTTGCTCTGGTGTAACGCGCGTTGTTGTCCAAGGCATTGAATTGCAAATTGATTGATTTATTGTATGTTAAGGTCAGATTTGCAGACTCTTGAATGAATGAACCTGGTTAAATGTTTTGTTTTTTCCCCCTGCTTACAAATCGATTAATGGCATCTAGCATAAAAGTTTGCGTTTATACAATATATGTGTGTGTGTGTAATTGTTTTGTATATATAAATGCACACATATGCATGTATATATTTAAGAAAAAAATGATTTATATATAAAATATGTATATTTATGTATAATATAAATTATATATAAATATATATACATGCAAATATTTCTTAAATATATACATGCATGTGTGTATCTATATATACAAAATAATTATACACAGTAAACACATATTATGTAAACACTTATTTTGGATGTGATTAATCATTACCCAGCACTAATTTATATGCATCTAACTTTTATGTTAGATGCAATTAATCGCGATTAATCGATTTGACCGCATGAGTGGCTTATTGTATGTCAGATTTGCAGACACTTGAATGAATGAACCTGGGTTAAATGGGTTTTATTTTCCCTTTTTTTGGGTTGGGTTGGGGGGGGGGGATTATTGGTTTGGTTATCAATATGTGGGATGCGTTGTAACACTTAATCACCAAACTACCATTTTCGGAAACTAATCCACCAAGTTGTATTTGTACGCCTCGACGAGCCCCTCGATGGAATGAATGAACCCAGAAATACTACATATTCCCCCGATTACAAATATAGCGACGTCGAAGAACACCTGATGCCACAAGAGCTTTCTCCACAACAGCTTGAGGTGGAAAAGACTCGGGAGGAGAAAACACAAACCGGCGCCCGTCAAACTGCCCGTCAGACCCATGAGGAGCGCGAAGTGTGGCACGTAAATAGCCATTAGCATAGTGAACACGACTAGCGCGCAGCGTAGCGAAAGCCCCCACGATTTGAGCTTCCCGTCGCCTCCGTAGCAGTCCGGGAAAAACGCACGCCCTCCATCTTGGAAGAAAGACTTTTCTAGGACCTCGACGGCGGCGAAGAACGGCAACGGATACGATAGCAGCGCCTTTGACACTAAGAAGAGGTTGACGACGGCTCTGATTCCCGACGGTAAGTTATCCGTGATCACTTCTTTCGTCTCGTCAGCCCACGTCAGATAAGCCACTAGCGCGAATAAGCCTTTCAGGATGCAGGCGGCGATGTGAGTCCAGTTCATCATGCAGTGAAACTCGCTAGGCTTTTGCATGTTCCCCTCAAGCGATGGAAGGAAGATCTGCGAGGTGTAGCTGAACACGATGATGCCGATCGAGATTGGGAACTTCTTGACGTCGATGTAAAACTTGACCTTGTCCCACGCCCAGTCTCGCGCCCTTGACAGACAGTATGCGATGACTAGCACGTTGATGATAAAGTGCGCGATGGTGCAGAGCAAGCTGAATTTAGACACGGCTTTGAGGTTCTTGAGGAAAGCGCAAGGCAGAAGAGCGGCGGTCGCGATTATCGCCCAGGATCTCTGGGAAACGGGAAGCGTGGGAAAGCTGTTGTACATCAGGTTTCCGCTCACGACCACGTACAGAATGCAGGTCATCACGAGCTCGATGATTTGGGCTACGTTGACGATGTGGCCTCCTAGCGAGGGGAAGCGTGGCGCGCAGCAAGCGTTGGCAATATCCACATACGAGTCTCTCACTCGTACCAACTGGCCGTCTTCGTTTTCTTCGTACAGGCAAGAGATGAGGATTTTCCCCGTGTAGCAACACACGACCGCGGCGAATATAATGAGGAAGAGTCCGAGATATCCGCCGTGGAGAATGGCGTAGGGTAACCCGA